TTCCCCTCCCCCATTTCTGAAGAAGGGTCTAGGCCCGAAACGTCAGCCTTCCTGCTCCTCTGACGCTGCTTGGCCTGCTGTGTTCATCCAGCTCTACACCTTGTTATCTCAGATTCTCCAGCATTTGCAGTTCCTACTATCTCTGAGTGAGTATATGTGACTGTGTGTGTTTAGTTTAGATTAAAAGGCAAACACAAGATAACAGTTGCAGATGATGTGATTAACATTAGGATGGAGGAAAAAATGTGTTACAATTGCAGTCAGGGCTAAGGCACATACCTGGGGACAATTTGGAAGAGTTAGGCCAAGGAGGGATTGAAAATGAGAATGAGGATCTTCAAATAGATGCTAATAAGAGTTAGAGAGCCTTGGAGTGAGAGGTGAAGTGACTGTGTAAATAAGGATGTGTTCAGTTCATGTTGAGTAAAGTGGAAGAGGCTAGCAAAGGGGATGGTTGAAAAACAGGAGTCTGAACACGACAAAGAGGCTCAGTAACTAGTGTTGTCACACCATGAAAAACAGTACTAATAGGGGAAATGGGACTTTGCTTCAAAAACACGCATCATTCTGTTCTATTTACATCTGATGCATTCACAAAATGAACCCTCTATTACAAAAACAGATGATCTAACAGCCCCATGGAAGGTAACTTAACAACCCAATCTATTTGTGTAGTTACCGGGTCTATACTGGGCATCATCCCAATTAATTCAGACAGCCTCAAAGAGTGTGCACAAGAAAATTTTCTGATTCAGAATGTGGATGTACCTACTAGATCTACTTGATCTACTCTTGGAAAATAGGGCAGGGCTGCTGACTGAGGTGTCAGTGGGAGAGTACTTTGGGGCCAGTGACCATAATTCTATTAATTTTAAAATATTGATGGAAAAGGATACACTGGATCTAAAAGTTAAAGTTATAAATTGGAGGAAGGCCAATTTTGATGGTATTAGGCAAGAACTTTCTAAAATTGATTGGGGGTGGATGTCTACAGACGGCTGGAAAACGGGAAGCCTTCAAAAATGAGATAACAAGAGCCCAGAGTCAGTATATTACTGCTAGGGTGAAGGGTAAGGCTGGTAGGTGACGAGAGAAATGGAGGTCTTGGTTAAGAAAAAGGAAGCATATATCAGGTATAGACAGCAGGGATCGAGTGAATCCTCAGAAGAGTATAAAGGCAGTAGGAGTATACTTAAGAGGGAAATCAGGAGGGCAAAAAGGGGACATAAGATAGCTTTGGCAAATAGGGTTAAGGAGAATCCAGAGGGATTCTACAAATACATTAAGGACAAAAGGGTAACTAGGGAACGAATAGGACCCCTTAAAGATCAGCAAGGCCACCTATGTGTGGAACTGCAGGAGATGGGGGAGATACTAAATGACTATTTTGCATCAGTGTTTAAAGTGGAGAAGGATATGGAAGATAGAGAACATGGGGAAATAAATAGTGACATATTGAAAAATGTCCATATTACAAAGGAGGAGCTGGATGTCTTAAAATGCATAAAGGTGGATAAATCCCTGGGATCTGATCAGGTGTACCCTAGAACTCTGTGGGAAGTGAGGGAAGATATTGCTGGGCTCCTTTCAGAGATATTTGTAGCACCAATAGCCACAGGTGAGGTGCTGGAAGACTGCAGGTTGTGCCACCAATTAAGAAAGGTGATAAGGAAAAGTCAGGGAACTATAGACCTGTGAGCCTGACATCGGTAGTGGGCATGTTGTTGGAGAGAATCCTGAGAGACAGGATTTACAGGTATTGGGAAAGGCAAGGACTGATTAGGGACAGTCAACATGGCTTTGTGCATGGGAAATCGTGTCTCACTAACTTGACTGAGTTTTTTTGAAGAAGTAATGAAGAGGCTTGATGAGGGCAGAGCAGTGGATGTGATCTATATGGTCTTCAGTAAGGCATTCGATAAGGTTCCTCATGGTAGACTGGTTAGCAAGGTGAGATCACTTCGAACACAGGGAGAGCTCGCTATTTGGATACAGAACTGGTTCAAAGGTAGAAGACAGAAGGTGGCGTTGGAGGGTTGCTTTTCAGACTGGACGCCTGTAACCAGCGGTGTGCCACAAGGATCGGTGCTGGGTCCACTGTTTTTTGTCATTTACGTAAATATTCGGATGTGAACAAAGGAGGTATAGTTTACAGATGACATTAAAATTGGAGGTGTAGTGGACAGTGAAGAAGGTTACTTCAGAGTACAACGGGATCTTGATCAGATGGGCCAATGAGCTGAGGAGTGGCAGATGGAATTTAATTTAGACAAATGTGAGGTACTGCATTTTGGAAAGGCAAATCAGGCCAGGACTTATACACTTAATGGTAAGGTCCTGGGGATTGTTGCTGAACAAACAGAGCTTGGAGTGCAGGTTCATAGTTCCTTTAATGTGCAGTTGCAGATAGATAGGATAGTGAAGAAGATGTTTGGTATACTTGCCTTTATTGGTCAACGCATTGAGTATAGGAGTTGGGAAGGTCATGTTTCAGCTGTACAGGACATTGGTTAGGCCACTTTTGGAATACTGCGTGCAATTCTGGTCTCCCTGCTATTAGGAAGGATGTTGTGAAACTAGAGAGGGTTCAGAAAAGATTTACGAGGATGTTGCCAGGATTAGAGGGAGATGCTAAATAGGCTGGGGCTATTTACCCTGGAGCGTCAGAGGCTGAGGCATTACCTTATAGAGGTTTATAAAATCATGAAGGGCATAGAGAGGGTAAATAAGCAAGGTCTTTTCCCTGGGGTGGGGAAGTCCAAAACTAGAGGGCATAGGTTTGAGGTGAGAGGGGAAAGACATAAAAGGGGCCTAAGGGGCAACTTTTTCATGTAGCATGTGGTACGTGTATGGAATGAGCTACCAGAGGAAGTGATGGAGGCTGATATGTTTACAACATTTAAAAGGCATCTGAATGGGTATATGAATAGGAAGGGTATAGAGGGATATGGACCAAATGCTGGCAAATGGAACTAGATTTATATGGGATATCTGGTCTGCATGGACGAGTTGGACCTAAGAGTCCATTTCTGTGGTGTATATCTCTGTGACTCTATGACTATCATTTGCCTAATATAGGCACATAAGCAGGGCCTGAATACTCGAAAATACACACAATGAAGGAGTGGATACAGCATACTTCAATCTATTCACAACAAATCAAGACAATTGCATATTTACAGTGATAAGCAGCAATACTCAGTGTACACCAAAATTTAAAGTTAGGAGGAAGTCGGAGGTGTGTATGCTTGTGAAGCCACGCTGAAGGAAGCTGTTTAACCTGGAGAGCAATATGGGAATGGGAGTCGGGGATGGTGGTGCATGTTACATAGTTTATGCATTGACAGGCTGGAAAGGCTGTATTTGCTGTATCAAATATATCTATATTGCAGTAGTGGTTGTATTTCAAAATATTCACAGTTCAAAGAGGCTAATTGGGCTTTATCTAAGCGGTGAGTATATTAGGATGAAGATGCTGGTTTATTAGGCCTGTGTTCTCAGGCTGCGAAACATGAACACCTGACAATCATCTCAAAAGGAAGCTCGATTATTTATTCATCTTCATTGCTTTCAGCGCATTCTTAGTTTTCCATGGAATGATAGAATCACAAATCAAGGACAAATCTCCCAATGATTATTAGCACTCACCAGGGAGCACATTTGTACAATTGAAGACAGACTCAAGAATACAAGAGTGAAGTGATCCATTTTGGGAGGTAAAATGCAAGAGGAAAGTACACTGTGAATGGCCAGACTATTAGGAGCATTATAATACGGAGGGATCTTAGGGTCCAAGTCCATAGATTCCCGAATGTGGCATGACAAGGAGATAAGGTCATAAAGAATGCATGGGGCATGCTTGCCTTCATCAGTTGGGACAATGAATATAAAAGTTGGCAAGTCATGCTACAACTGTAAAAGATTTTAATCTGGACACATTTGGAGTACTGTGCACAAATCTGGTCACCACATTACAGGAAGGATTTGGAGGCTTTGGAGAGGGTGTAGAAGAGGTTTACCAGGATATTGTCTGGATTGAAGGGTATTAGCTATAAGGAGAGGTTGGAGAAACTTGGATTGTTTTTGCCAGAGTGTCGGAGGGTGAGGGACGACCTGATAGAAGTATACAAAATTATGAGGGGCATGGATAGGGTGGATAGTCAGAATTTCTTTCCCAGGGTGGAAATGTCAAATACTACAGGACATAGGTTTAAGGTGAGAGGGAGCAAGTTTAAAGGAGATGTGCGAAGAAAAGTTTTTACACAGAAGGTGGAAGGTGAAATAACTCCTCAGAAGCCGGTATCCCATCACCAAGTCACCCTTTATTTACACGTGGAGAGTCCCTGACACTGATCCAGCTCCCTCAGAGCCAGCTCTCAGAGTGTCAGGATGTCTGACACTATTGTTTATAACCAGACTAGATTAACAGCCCCAAGTAGAGAACTCATATTCTATATCGTTCACTGGTCACAATGATTACAGTAGGTACATGGAATGCGCTGACAGGGGAGATGGTAGAAGCAGATACAATAGCAAAGTTTAAGAGGCATTTAGACAGACACATGTACAGGCAGAGAATAGAGGGATACAGACCATGTGCAGGCAGATAGGATTAGTTTAGAATAGCATCAACATTGGCACAGACATGTGGGCC